AATCTGTCGTGAGGTCGCGCGGCTTATAAAATTGCGGCATTTAAATTCCGCTTGCATATTCCGCGCGGATGCGAGTTGTATGAAAATTGCGTATGATAAAAATGTAAAATGAATCGCGTAGATGTGGAAACGAGCGGGGAAAAGCTGAAGCTTAATAAAGCGGTTCACGGTGGAGAAATAGAACGACTTGGCCGATATCGATCCGAGGAAGCTGTTTTACTCGGTCAGTAAACGCGCGCCCGTTCCACATCTCGCCGTTGCATTTTACGGCTTCCTTCGATTATTACTTCAATATGCGCTGCTATCTAAATTATCGTAAATCCAATATCGTTATCTACACGGACGGACGAAAACATATGTTATGTCCGCTGCGTTTAATCCCAGTATCAGTTAAATATACATCAACCTCGTTATTAATATCGCGAATGGTCATTAATGTCAGACGCAATATGCTCTTTTCCAATAAAAAAAAGTTGCAAATGGAAAAACACATATGATTGCATTGTATATTTTCCGCATGTTGGGACTTCTTAAAAGATTAAAACGCAATATATCATTTTTTTAATATGTAATTCTAATTTACAGTTTGTGAAGGAATTATTAGTGTTCTTTGTTATTTACGAGGATGAAAAATTAAGGAAAATGTGCGATTACGCTGATTTGGAATAATCGGAGACTTAAGTGAAATTCATACGGAATATGTAAGTGTTAATTTGTATATCTCCCTAGGTATTGGTCAATTTCAACAAAGAGCGGAACCACGGCACACTGCTGTCTACTGGCCGGGCCTTCAGGGACTAGTCAGCGATCCTCTCGCATGGCGGGCAAGATTACACACATGTAAGTCCAATATCTCTCACGTACTACATCTCTTACACATACAAACTCATATAATATTATATAGAGAGAGGATACTGGTCTGAATATTTACATATTTACAATGCCGAGCACGATTCATCGTATGTTGAACGTACCGCACAGAGAGAATTCCACCAATGTTGCTGCAACATTGTTGAAATGTTCTATACGGACATTTAACATTAAATGTAATAAAAGTGAAACTTATTAATCATTGAGGTTTAAGGTCATTTATTAATCATTTAAGGTAATTTTGCTAATTGAAATAAGATGCTCAATTATACCTAATTAAACTTTGTCTTTAACGCGCACTTTTTCTCTTCTCTACTTCTCATTTTTTTTTATCTAGACGAGACATTAGCGTTTCTTTGGCTACAGAGGGATGTATTATTATTATTATTTCTAAATACGCGCATTGTCGTCGTATGTCTCGTTCGTTTGCGGATGTTTCGTTACCTTTCCCCGGGCATCGTCGTGGCGGGTTTGACAGCTGCTCGTGTTTGCTTTCGCGGCAGGAAAATCACAGGGCCGAAGT